TACTTCAAATAAATCATTGTATTACTTAAAGAAATTATTCCCTTACTATCCAGGATTGTTGGAAGTAAGTGTTGTGATTTGAAGAGGATTGTTCTTCATTCACATTAGTGCTTGTTTGGTCTTAAAGGTGTTAAGAACCTTTGATCACCCTATAGGTTAGATAGTAAGCATAGGTTGTACGATCATTCTAACTATAGTGAAATCTCTTTCGTGTTGGAAAGGGGACTGGAGTACTCTCGAATTGTGAGGGGAACCAGGATATATCACCGTGTTCTTTACTTTTCCGCATTTATCGCTTTCATCACCATAATCAGGAAAAGATAAATATATAATCAAAACCTTCAAACACTTAACCAAAAATTACTACCAAGCATTCTCATAAAACCGAATATATTTTTATAAGACCTAATTCACCCCCCCCCCCCCTCTTAGGCACTCTGAGACTTACAACTGCTTCAAGTCCTTTTCTCTGACTCATACACATAAATCTGGTTCCTTTGGTAAGAGGAACCTACCAGATGTCAGAGATAATGTCCTCGACATTTAGACTGGACTTCATGCATGAAGAATATTGTTGAGATGTCTTTAACAAGTCTCCATAAAAAACCGCAAGCTCAACCTCTGCACTCCTACTTTCTTAGATCAGAAATAAACTAACCCAAGAAGTAATCAATATTTTGATCATGTCTTGACCAAACATACTTTTCCACGACATGTTTCTAGGATAGAAACCTCTTAGACACATAGCATAGATGCCTCCTCTTCCAGGTCAGGAGTAGGTTCTAAACATATGTTATCACCACACATTTGTTTAGCACCCAGAGCATCTGTTAGGTCAACCCTTAGTGTAGCAGGATTCTGCACATCTTGCTGATAGGATGTTCCAACATCTTGTAGAACATCTTTCCAAGGAACTCACCAAACACCAGGAGTTTTCCATCAGATACAAATGCAACGGAAGAAAAATAGGTCAGTAAACTCTTTAACAACCCTCGGGATGGCTTAGTCACCCTTGTACATAAGAATCACAGACCAGGTGACAACAAACCAACATAGGTTTGAAAATAAATCAAACCAACAAAACAGAAGCATGGGAGCCTGCTTCCAACTACCATGCCTTACACCTTCAGACAAGACCCCATCTCATCCTGTCACAAACATTTCATCCTCCACCTCAAGGGACCATTTAAAAAACAATATGAATCGACCATGTTCAAATAAATTTTTCAGTACAAACCTTCCTTGCCCGTATTACCAGAAAGTATATTCCTAGGATCTCACCCAGAAACAGACATGATGCCTGCTCTAATAGCAATTGAAATTTAGGTATGACAGAACTCAGTTGTCCTCTGACATGTTGAGACATCTGATCCAACATAAACAAATAGGCAAGGTATAAAAAATAAACAACAGTACTGAAAAGCCTAAACAACACAAGATTTGTTAGCCCAGTCCGGTAACAACAACACCTACTCTGGGGGCTACCAAGCTAGGAAGATGATTCCACTATCAGTAGTATTATTTTATGTAAACAACCTTCAACTTATCTAATCACTAACCAATGCAATCTTTATCTCAGAACACCATCTAAGATAAGAGAACCTCTGCTTACTCCCTAGTGATACCTAGCTGTTACAACCTCTGATAATAATAACAAACTACTTGATGGAAACCTCTTTAATATCAAGTACAATCAAGACTATTGACATACATACTTAGAGTTTCTTAAAATCTTCCTCCAAGAACAAAACTCAACTCATTACTTCACAGCTTCTGAGTGAGAACAATAATAAATATTACAACTCTATAACACAGTTCAACTCACAACCTGAGTGGATCACACAGAACAACTCTCCTAGAGAGTGGTACACAGAATCAACCCTAATAATATGAAATTTACATTTTTGGCTGGTACAAAATTAGGTTACAAACACTTATATTTATAACCTTTCTCCAAACTTAATTTGGGCTTTAAATCACAACAAAGTTGCTGCTAAAAATGCTCCAAGATATTCTCCAAAACAGTTGCTAAAACCGCTCCAAGATATTCTCCACAAATTTAGGACTTCAATAATTTAATTTCCTAAAAAATCTCCATATTTAGAAACTGGGAATACTTCTTGAATACCAACATAAAATCTCTGATTTATCAATATTGGACGCCACATAGGATTACTAAATATTCAATGAATATTTAGTAATTAAATTACAACAACTGATTCCAAATTATCTTTGTAGTAGACCTGATGTCCTATACTTCTGGTTAGGACATTCCATTCAACATGTTCAAATAGAAGGTTGAAACATCTTGTTCAACATGTTGCTGCCAAATTAGTTTTACCAAAATACACGCCAATCATAATTTTAGAGAAATAGCAGTTACTGTCAGGCACCTTCAGGAAGACCATCCTCAGGTTATACACGGGCCTTCCTCGTGCCTCTTTCAACAACTATTAGGAATTGATGAGAAAATTGGTACACCAGTTTGCTGCCAGTCATCACAGAAAGATATCCACCATGATTTTGTTCAACATTCGCTAGGGTCTACTAGAATCACTAAGGGGATATCTCGTCTGCTTCATTGAGGCCACCATCAAGGTTGTCCTTTCGAACCAAGAAATGTTCTTGGGTGAATTCCAAAATGGACTCAAAGTGGGACACTTCAGTAAATCTCTCACTCAAAAGCCAACATTCACAATGATCGAGGTAGTCACCAAAATAGAGTGTTACATCAAAGGTGATAATGCTGAAAAGAAGGTGCGCGAAGTTAAGGAGCATGTTCCCAATGATAAGAGCTCTCATCCCTCAAGGAAAAACAGTTATACCTCACCTGTGAAGGACAAATCCATGTTCTAAAGGGTGGGGAAAGTGATAGAGAATTTTATGCCTTTGAATACCCACCGAGCACAAATCTCGCGCAAGGTACTCCACCTACATAACATCCTGACACTGCCTGCCCCTAGGCCCGAGGTAATAGGATATGAACTTGAAAGGTGGTATAAGTTCTATAGGGTTAAAGTACATCATGTTGGTGATTGATACCACTTAAAAAAGGAAATAGAAAAGCGAATACATAAGGGCCGCCTCAACAAGTACGTGAATGGAGACTCCTCCAATCAAGCGGAATGACGTAGCCCGAGGAAAAGGAAGTAAATATGTGTGTCACACCCTTAACACCATAACCGGAGGCTTCATTGGGGGCGGTGAGACTAGCTCCTCCCGTAAAAGATATGCCCATTAGGCCCTTAGTTTAGAAGACCTCCCTGAGGTCACAAGTACGAAAGATCTAGAAGTCGTGATTGCCTTGTTAGAAGAAGATGCGTTCGACGACCATTCTCACAACAATGATCCCATGGTATTCGCTGTCAAATGAGAATAATGGGAGATCAAAATAGTCCCAGTCGACCAAATAAGCTATGTTGATATACTGTATTGGGACGCCTTTAAGAGATTGTGTCTCAACCTTGAAGACATGAAGCCCTTCTAGGGATCATATGTTGGATTCTCAAGAGAACATGTGCAGGTGAAAGGATATCTCACCCTGAAGATCACGTTAAGAGAGCAATACCATGCCAAATAAATAAAGTTTAATTATTTAGTCATTGACGCCCCATCTTCATATAATATGATTATTGGGCGACCAACCTTTAACCGACTGGGAACGGCTTTGTCTATATTGTATTTATGTATGAAATACTCATTTCCCAACGGGTGAGTGGAAGTCGTTCAGGGAGACCAATAAATCGCCAGGAACTGTCACGAGAAAGCCTCAAATTAAAAAGGACACACCTTCCAAGTGTAAGGCGAAAAGTCCAGCCATGGGATAACACCGTCCAACGAAGCTGGCGAGAGCAAGAAAACTTCTCATCCATCTTCACAATGCGATAAAGCCTAAAAGAAAGAAGGCATCCTTCACCTCTGGAACTGTCTATGTAGTCATCCCGTTTCTATTATTTATTCATGTAGTTATTTTATCTTTTGTTATTTACCTAGTTGACATTTTCTCACAGGCGAGTATTAAAACTCAATAGATTGTAAGGACAAGTTATTAGTTGGGATGCACTTTTTTCCTTATGCACCTCCCAGAGAGCGAGGATTTTTAATGAGGCATCTCATCCTTATTTATCTACATTTATTCGCTATGCCACACCTATGTAGAAAATTCAGGTTCATAAGAGACAAAAAAATATATTTGTTGGACCTCCATGAGAGGATCCTTACCTCCCATAGAGGCAATTATACTTGTTGGATCCCCCAAAGGAGGATCTTTTCCGCCTGTGGAGGCAATTATACTTGTTGGATCCCCCAAAGGAGGATCTTTTCCGCCTGTGGAGGCAATTATATTTGTTGGATCCCCAATGGGAGAATATTTTCCGCCCATAGAGACAATTATATTTGTTGGATCGTCCAAGGGAGAATCTTTGTCGCCCATAAAGATAATTATATTTGTTGGATCTCCCAAGGGAGGATCCTTGTCGCCCTTGGAGGCAATTATATTTGTTGAATCCCCCATGAGAGGATCTTTGTCATCCGTAGTGGCAATCATGTATGTTGGATCTCCCAAGAGAGGATTTTTGTCGACCATAGTGGTAATCATGTATGTTGAATCCCCTAAGAGAAGATCATTCCCGCCCGTAGAGGTAATTATGCATGTTAGACCCCCAAGGGAGGATCTTTATCGCTCCTAGAGAAAAACATTACAACGAAACGTCATAAGATTAAGGCAAAATAAGATAACAGTTAAATCTTAATGCAATTAAATTAAAAAACATGCCCTTAGAGAGCGTCATTGTTCCAAACAATTACAAAAGCCTACAAGAGGATCAAAAGAAATACAACAAAATGAAAAAAGCCACAGAGGGCACACATCATTCTTGGGTCTCCTCCTCCATAACAACATGCTTCGGTCGAGAACTCTCAGGCTCACCACCCAACTAGGGCACACCTTCCTCCTGAATGGGGGAAGGCTTAGGTTCGGGAGAAGTCGTTTCCCATTCCTTTCACAACCTTGAAGGGATCTGGGGGCTCAAGTCTAGAGTGAGGTACAACAAAAGAACTTGCTCTATGGTCCGTTTAAAGTACACGCCGACAGCAGACACCACTTCCTTGTTTAGATCTGATACCTCTTTCCCTAAATCCGTTTGGCAAAGAAGAACTGCATCCAAGGAGTCATACAGAGCTTTCTTCTCAACAACAATCTCTCTGGCTTTAGCCTGAGCATCCTCCAACCTCTTGCCCCTCTTCTCCTCATCTTGCTGGAGAGACTATAACATTCGTTGGCTCTCATAATAATCCTTTGTCTGTTCTTAAAGCCTTACCTCTAGATCGCTAGCATCCTTATCACACCTCCCCAGCTCAACATCCTGAAGCATCAACACCCTTAGTAAAAGGGTGTTTTTCATAAAAAAAATTAATTTTAAAATTAAAAATACATAAAATAATTTATAAAATTTTAAATATTAAAGTTAATATATATATATATATATATATATATATATATATATATATATATATATATATATATATATATATATATATATATATATATATATATATATATATATATATATATATATATATATATATATATATATATATATATATATATATATAAAATTTAAAAATATTTAAAATTAATAAATATAATTTTAATAATTTTTAAATTATATTTATTAATTTACAATTTCTTTATACTAAATTCCTAATTAGAATAAATACTAAAAAAGTATATGTTAAAATATAATTACAACTTTATAAATTATATAACAAAAAAATTAATTCTGGATTGTATCAAAATTTTGATTTTAATTTATTATTTATTCTTTTACTTTTTTAAAAGAATAATATTGTTATTTTATAAATACACTTTGTCCTTATCTTTTAGTTTCATTTTCTCTCATACAAAAAATAAAGTTTCTCTTTTTTTAACTTTGTTTTCTTTTCTCTATATTTCCTTCATGAGTAAATAAATTAGAAATATGGAAGAGACTAATTATTTAAATTTATTTATTTCAAAAACCTAACAGTGTTTTTAATTTTTTGAAGAATTAAATTGGGTTATATTTATCTCAATATTAACAGTTTGACAGCATGTGTTTGCATGGTTAGTGTAAATAATATTTATTCTATCTCTTAATCATAATCATCAAACAGTTAAAAACATTTAATTTAGTCTTAATAATTTTTATAGTCATGCAATAAAGTATTTGAATCGTTGCCAATATATTTTATTTTATGGAATTATAATAAAGTAATAATAGGAATGGATGTATTCAAACTGAACAGTCAAACGTATATCTAGTTACCAAATTAATCGAGATAGTTTCAATGTCCTAAAGCCTAAAATAGGTAGAAATGCATGCATGGTAATGTTAAATGAATCTTTTAACAACCTCCATATTTGTTTCAATCCTTCATATTATTTAGACAGTCACATAGACACTTTGAAATCATAGTGAATCACAAGAACCAGTGCATCAATCAACATAGTCTCTCTCACACAACCACAAAAAAAAAAAAAAAAAAAAAACAGTGCGACATGGCTTCCCAAATTTCCATGTGCCTTACTCCCACGTTTCAATTTTCTCGTGTCCAACATTCTGCGAAAACGAACTATCCTCTAAACCTATCCCTTCAATCAACTTTTCCTTCCTTGAGAGGTTTATTACTTTATATCTTTTATTTTTAATTTGTTCATTCATGTAAAAACAAATTTCAACTATATATATTTTAGACACACCAACATAATAGGGTTTTGAGGTTTTTTTTTTTTTTTTATATTTAAAACTGGAAATAAAGTGGAGATGATGTTGTGCTAACGGATTACGATAATGTTCATATTTTGGTGGATTTTTAATTGTCATTTATTTAATTATATACATGTTATTAAAAAACGTTTCCGATTGTATCCATTGATAAAATATTTTTTTTAGTAAATAATTAAATATTTAGTTATTTATTATAAAATTTTAACTATTTAAACCAATTAGTATTACTTATAACGAACCTTTTCTTAAATATTTAATTGTTTATTATAAAGTTTAATGTAATTTTATAAAAAAAATTAATTTATTATTATTTAATAATTAATATTTTATTTTATTAACTTTAAAGAATAATTTTTTAGTTTTAATATTTATAAATATGTAAAGAAAAAGAATAAAACATTTATCGAGAGTGGAGACATGGATATACATACATATGTAATATTATTTTTTAAATGCTTAGCTACTATCTTTTAAATAAATGTGAAATTATATACTTTTAGCTAAAATGAGTTTAGAGAAAATAGATTAAATAGTTTTAATGGAACTTTTGTACTACATTTATTACCAATGCAACATTCACTCTAGCTAAATTGTTGGAAACAAGCCTTAACTTTTTCTAAATAATTTTGATTAATTAATTTATTATTTGGTATAGATACACGTCCTTTCAGAATCATCAAAGCAACATATGACAAGAATTCTGATGGATTTGATTCAATCAATTCACAAGGTAACATAATAAGTACACGCTCCGGTCTCATTTATAAGAAAAAATTAACTTTTTATATACATTGAATAAATATTGTCCAAATATATTATTTATTTAATGTATTTAAAAAGTTAACTTTTTCTTATAAATGAAATCAGAGGGAGTATTTATTTATGTGTATTATTTTTGGACAATGTGCATCAAAATTAATGTAATTAATGACTCTATATATCAAAATATCTTAATGAAGTTTCACAAGACAATGTGCTTTCCAATGAGGCTAGGAAGAATGAAGAATATACTGAGTCTTTTCATCAGGTATGTCATCACTACTCTAGTTCATCAGGTATTGCTTAGATTTTACACTAAATATTGAATGATAAAATAAAAGTGAATGTCTAGGATAGAACAAAGTGTGATATAATCTACTTCAATAATGCATCATAGTTATACCCTAAATATTCTTTTTATTCGATTAATAGCTCTAGATTTAAAATAACATCTATAAAGAGTGAGTAAATATATTTGATTATTCATTTATGTATGTCATGAATGTTAATGTGTGAGGCACTTTAATGAGGAGAGAAAGAGAGAATAATAAAAAAAATAAGAATTTGTATTATTGAATTATATAAATAATGATATACATTATGACTATTTATATACAATTCTAATTGGGTTTGGGCTAACACAACTTGGATTATATTTAAATATTAAATTTAATCAAATCTAATATAATCTAATATTTTAATAAATCTAATTTAATATTTCAACACACCCCCATAATACAAGTTGTCGAACATCCTCAAAAATAGTCAATCTGAATTATTCCTAATTTCTTTCTCAAATTCAGAAATTTATCGATCTTCAATCATTTGGTGAAAATGTCGGCCAACTGTGCTTCACTTGAGCAATGCCTAACTTCAAGTTCACCTTGATTTACTTTTTCCCTCAAGAAGTGAAAATTGCTTCAATATATTTACTTCTTCCATGCAGAACTGGATTCTTCGCCAGATTTATGGCTGACTTGTTGTGGATTTGCAATACTAGAGGTTTCTTCACTTCGATGGTCATTTCTTCAAGTACAGATCTGATCCAAATTGCATGACATCTGCATAGGATCCTGCTATATATTCAGCTTCACACAATGACAATGCCACCACAGGTTGCTTCTTCGAACACCATGAGATTGGGGCACCAAATACTTGAAAGAAATATTCAGTTGTGCTTCTTCGATCTTCCTTATCTCCACACCAATCAGCATCTGAAAAACAATTAACTATTTCTTCTTTGCCTTCAGAATCTCGTCAAAATAGTATTCCATAATTTATTGAACCCTTCGAATATCTCAGGATTCTTCTTGCATCCTTCATATGTGACACTCTTGGTTCACCGATATATTTGCTTACTAATCCGACTGCAAAACCTATATCAGGTCAACTGTTGTACACATACCTCAGAGATCCCACAATTTGCTTGAACAAAGTTGCATCGACTTTGTCTTTCTCTCCATTCTTCTCCAACTTCACATTTGGTTCGACAGGTGAGAATGCAGGATTCGAATCATCCATTTTGAATCTCTTGAGTATCTCTTTGATATACTTTCTTTGATGTAGCACCATACCTTGCTTCGATATTTTTATTTCCATGCCTAGAAAAGAAGACAATTTTCGTAGATCCGACATTTCAAATTCCTTCGTCATCAGCTCTTTGAACTTCGACAAGTTCTCCAAACTATTTCCAGTTACTAGCAAGTCATCAACATATAAGCAGATGATTGTTATATCTTGTGCTATAACCTGAACATAGACACCATACTCTGATTTGCATTTGACAAATCCCAATTCGACTAAGTATGTTCCATGCCCTAGGTACCTGCTTGAGGCCATAGAGCGCTTTGTGCAATCTATATAATTTACTCGCTTCCTTCTGAATCACAAACCCAGGAGGTTGTGTGACATAAACTTCTTTGTCAAAAGGACCATTCAGAAATGCTGATTTTACATTTAGATGGAATGCCGACCAGCCTTGGTTGCATGCCAATGCTACCACTAGTCGAACAATCTCTAATCTTACTATTGGAGAAAATACTTCAGAGTAGTCGAGTCCTGCTCTTTGAAGAAAACCTCGAGCTACTAATCTTGCTTTATGTCTTGCTATTGACCCATCTGCATTATTTTTTAACTTGAACACCCACTTTACTTCGATAGCTTTTGTATGTGCTGGCAATTCGACTAACTCCCATGTGTTGTTTCTTTCGATTTCCTGTAACTCTTTGACCATAGCTAAATTCCACTTGTTAATCTTCAAAGCTTTGCTATAGTTGATTGGTTCAACACATACAAGTAAAGCAAAATGAACTAATTCTCCATCTGGTGTGATTTCATCATCGTCCACCACTTCATGATCATGAATTCTTGTTGGAAGAACTCTATTTCTTTGAGGTCTTTGGCTTGTTTCAGCCACAACCTCTTCGACTTCGACTTTGTCGGGAGTGTCAGTAACTGCTTCTTCTTCAACTTCGATTGGATTCTCAATAATTCCTTCGACCTCTACTTCATTAGTTTATTCATCGAAATAAAAGTTCATTAATGGCTTGTTAATTGAATTGCTAGAATTTCCATCCCAGGTAGATTTTTCATTAATCACAATATCTCAACTTAACACAATCTTCTTATTAATTGAATTTAATAGTCTGTATGCACCAGTTTTATGATATCCTACCAGAATCATAAGTTCACTCTTGTCATCAAGCTTCCTTCTCCTCGCATCAGGAACATGCTTGTAACACATAGAGCCAAACACCTTCAAATGACTTACTGATAGTCGTTTTCCACTCCACACTTCTTCAAGAACCCTGTTCTTCAATATCTTAGTAGGAAACTTATTCAAAATA